CTGTGCCCCAGTGCCTGCTGGAGGTGATGCCAACCTCAAAGGCTGTGCAGAGCCTCCTTGGGCATTTCTGGCAGAGGGACATGGCAGGAGTTCAGCCTCCTGGAGAAGCCACCCTGCCTGTCTACGTGAGAGCAGGGCTGGAGGCAGCATAAACCTGGTCTTTTCTTTCTCTTCAAAGCATTTAACATCCCCATTACGCACAGTCCGAGGCACGCGAGGACGTTGCTGTGCCTCTGTTTCTTCAGCTGTTGCATGGGGATATTATTATGCTCTTGTCTCAGATGCTGAGAGGGTTAATTAATTATGTTTATGAAACCCTTTGAGATTCTCAGATGAAAGGTGGCTTTGGAATTGTTAGGTGTTATTATAAGCAAAAAAGAATGATTTTATTGCTTTATGTTAATGGTTAACATCTGCACCACAAAACCTGCTTGATCACATAAAGATTCTGCTAAGCATTTAATCCTAATTTGCAGGCTGATGCATATTCATTTTATTTAGAAGATTAATTTAGTCATCAAAGGTTAATCTGCCTCGGGTTTGTAATTAGACAGAGCAGTGACTTGGTGTCTCTGGGCTCACCCAGGTTGCCCTGGGTTTTCTGAGTGGGCAGGGCTGTAACTGTCACGTTTTCACTTCCAGGTAGTGCTCAGAGTGGGCTTAATTTTTGGATAAATGGTGAGTGGTAAGAGCTTTGGCCAGTTTGAAGATTAAAAATAAAAGGAGAGGTGCAAGCCAATGAACAGTCAATACAGTGAATCTCAGAATGCTGCTTTGATTCATCCCTGGCAGGTTTACTCAATGTGATGTCAGGGGAATAAGCAAGGGATTTTTTGTATAAATATGTAAAACTGATTTAGCAGATTTCACAATCTTTGCTGTGTGAATCCTGCCTCTCTTTCAAAATTACTGATTAGCAGTATGCAGAAAGTTTCTGAAATTAAAAGCTGTGAAGCTTTCTGCTGAAAATTTCAGATTTTAACTTTTAGCTCCTGTTAGGAGTCATTGTTAAAAGGTCATAAAATGTGACCTGTAGCTGCTTGTTCCCCTGAAAATTAATCCTTTTGTGCTTAAGTTTGGCTTCTTTAATCATAAGTCACTAAAGAAAATGTGGTCCTTGTGGAGAACAAAAATCATGTTTCCTTTGCAGGTACACCAGAAGGCATCTTTAATTACTGTTTATAAAGCTGGCTGTTACTAAGTGTGAAGGATTATTAGTGCCAGGGTATTGTCTTTTGAAGTGAGGAAGAGCAGTGGCTGCCTCTGTCATGTGCTCATGGCTTCCCCTTTGTGCAGCAGTGGGGAGGGTGATATCAGAGGGTGTGAGGCAGCGAGGTGGCCTCCAAAAATCTGGGGGTGGGACACCAGGGTGGCTTGGGACGAGCTCATCCTCACTGTCAGTGTGATGGGGTGGTCAGAGGACAGCTCTGTGCCTCGGGGATGAAGCTCACACAGGGCAGGACGAATGGGAGACAGGGCTGGGAAATGGCAGAGGAAAACCTCACAAATGGAAAATTTGTCACAAAAGCAGCGGTTTGCCCAATGTGAAATCAATACGTGCTGCAAAATAAGCACTGTAAATGAAAATCATGATACTAGAATTCAGGAATTTGGCCAAAGCTTTAGGTTTCATTGCAGTTTGGCTTTGGTTGAGTTTAGAATCCAGATTCCATAGGGGTGGTTGCTCTTTTTCCCCAGCACAGCGCTCACATCTCTATTATGATTTGCCAATTTTCCCCTCCTCTTTCTGGTGCAGAACCTCAGAGCATCCAAGAAGGGATTTTGGAGACCATAAACAGTTCTTAATTGAGAACAGCCCAGAATCAAGTTAAGTGCTAGCTTGACTACCAGAATATAAATTAAGCTCTTTTATTAAAGCATTGTATTTTAATTATTATGAAGAACAAGTGGCCTAACGTGAAAAAGCTTTTAACATAGCAGTTATTTGCTTGATAGCTGATAAGTTAATTTTGGATGGATGATTACAGCTATTGCTTCTTGTCTTCTTCACTTTCCTTTTTACTTGATCTAATGACTGTTTACTGATTTTCATTTGGACTCGTGGTGAACTTCTAATTCAATTGGTAATAAATTCAGATTTGTTGAGGCCTGTTATTGCAATCAGGTTTCCTATTTCCAGTTTAAAAGGCCAGTGGAGTTTTGCTGGTCTTTTGAAGGAAGCTGGAATTGTTTTGAAACTGATGATTTGCAAAGCTGTTTGCAGGCTGACCGATTGGTAATCAACAGTAAACACTTCTCTGTTCTTTACAGGAAGGATAACCAGCCATGCAATGAGAGGACGTGATGGCAATTCACTAAAACCAGGAAAAAAACCCCAAACAACCAGGGCAGGTATCACTCTAGTCAAAAAGTGCTCAAAAATGAGGTCACCCTTGCATTGTTCAAGCCCTTTGTTTGTAGCCAAGAGACTGAGAGGGGAATTACACATGTTTGCTGCAGATTTTAGACTGTTTATGCTGTTTTAGTTTTCTTCTCAACCTGAACCTTTAGTGTCTTCACTTGCATCTTAATCCTGAGCTGATTTGTCTGAATGGTAGACAGGTACCACTGAAATGTGGATCGTGAGCTTCATCTGTCATCCCTGCTGCTGTATCATTGACTTCAGTGAGCTTCCAGAGGAATGAGCCTGGCCCACAAGAGGATGTGAGCTGTCAAGAAGATAAACCTCTTTCTCATCCATTTGAAATGTTTGTGGGAAAGAATGCCCTAAATATTTAGCAGCTTGTGTAATTTGAGAGGCAATGCAGGGGGTTTTTGAATTTTATTTTTCTCCCTACCTTTCAATTTTCTTTATTAAATAGAGGAAAACGTTGCCTTAGGCCCAGTGTGCTTATGACAGGGAAAAAAAATCTGCCAGAATCTCTATTACTGCTCAGGCCGGTATATATTGTTATTGCACTTGTATTTGTAATAGCAAAAAGTGACTGTGTCGCTTATAAAAAAATCCTATTTGCAGAAAAATACCCTCCTCCCTCCACCTTTTCCAAGCCCAGCACACTGTGTGAAGAATCCAGGAGCATTTATGTTGGTTCTGTCAATGCAGCAGGGCTCAGAGCAGCATGGATGTAAGTGCTGGCCATGTGTGCATTGAGTGATGCAGCTCCTGAAAACAGGAGGGAACAGAGATGTTTTAAGCTGGTTTAGCTTCCTCTCCTTTGCATTTTTAGGAGTCAGTGCAGCTGCACAGAGAACATCACTCAAATCTACTGTGGCCCGGCTTCGTTTCTGGTGGACAGAAGAAATAATGTGGGACTTCAGTGCTGCAAACTTTGTATATCCCCACTGGGCTCACCTATTTCAGCACTTCCAAAAGGCAGCCAAACTGATTGCTTGCTTCAACCACCATCAAAGATCTCACCCCTTCCTATTTCAGCTGCAGGGAGCTGCAGTGAGTCAGGCTTGGGTGGAGGGGGGAGATCCTCCACCCAGATTGCCAGCTCAAGCTTGCCAGGGCTTTATCTTGTGTTCTTAGGCAATGTGTTAAAGTTGTGCTTCTGGAAGAGCTCAGGGTTACACTCTTAGAGAAAAGCACAGTCCATCACCATCATGCACCAATGCCTGGCTGCTGCCTCTTCAGCCCTGGGTGGAGCAGGACCCTGAGAGACCCTTCTCTGAGAGAGAAGCCCATGTCTGTGCTTTAATGGAGCTGGCTTACATTTCACATGTGAAAGGGATGGCACAAGCTTCATGAGTAACACTGAGCATGGGAATATTCTCCCTGGGAGTGGGGCCATCTGTGCGTGTGCACAATTGCAAATCCCCAGTCTGAGTGAATATGTAAAAATTCACATTTATGCACCATTAAATTTAGATGATACTGTCCACAAAATCAACATTTTGGAGCTTTTAGACCATTCTTAGCATTTCTCCCCTGTGCAGAGTGGCTCTGAAACAGATTCTCCATGTCTGGGATATCTAGGCAGTAGGTCCCTGGCAGTGTATCTTTCTCTCCAAGAGCTGTGCCAGGTTGCTGGTACCTTCAAAGGATGAGAAGTTGGCACCTCCTTTGGCTCCTGTGCAACCAAGTGCTCTTCTTTCCCAGCAGAAAGATCTCTGCTTTCTGTCTTTGCCCTCGCCTGGGGCTGAGATGTCTTTATCACATTAACCCTGTGGGCACAGGAAGTGATATTATATAAGAAATAATTTTTCAACCCTATTTCTACTAATCATTGCCACTCCTACTGTAATAACAGACAGATGCAACATACACGATTCATGTTTCTATTATTTTTTGCTACAGTTTGCATGTGTTTTCCATTTAATTACAGTATATGAATTTCACCTCTCATTTTTTCCCTTCTTGCATTTAAAATTGAATTTGATATCTGTGATATATAGATAGGCCTGTGGTAAATTGTTTGATGTACTGTACACCCTTAAGTCTGTCTCTGCAAATCTCTTAAGTGCTCTGAATGTTTTCCAGTTTTGTTGGTGATGCAATAGCATCTGGGATAGTATTGGAGTAGTTTCTGCACAGGGCAGTGGAGTAGCTTGAGCGTTTAAAGAAACTTTGCTTGACAAAAGTACCAACACCAAAACCAATCACGATTTTTAGTTGTTAGAGAACTCTTTGCACCTTTCTGTTTCCAAACAAATAGCAAAGGACTTTGCAGGAGGAGAAAACTGAGGTGTACTGCTTAGTGATGACCAGGATACCATCCGCAGGGTAGTGACAGCACTGAAATGGGAACCAGATTTTTGTGACTGACCCACTCAGTGGGAAACATAACAATTCAGGCTTGAAGATCCTGTGGTGTGCTACTTGTCAGATCCTTTCTTTATCAACGTGTATTCCCATGTTTGAATTGAGCATTTTTTAAAAGAAAGGAGATTTCAGTCTAAGTTTTACATGAAAGAGGCCAGCTGAACTAGAGAGAAACAAATAAACATTGCTAAATGCTTATTTCTACATTAAAATAATAGTGCAAATCTTACTAACAGTGGGCTCTGCCTCATCTGTAACTTCCCATGTGTTTCAGAAAGAGTTGAATTATCCTGCTGCTTACCAAAAGAAAAACAGCATAAGAATACTGGTTAATGGGCATGCTTTGGATTCACACTGGATCCTGGAAGCAGAATCGTCCCCTGTGGATGTAAAAGTTTCAAGGTAAGTCTCCTCAGGTAATAGTCAAATCTTGTTTTTTCTAAAGTGCAATGTCTGCCTGCAGTGTGTTCTACAGATCAATCAGTCAACTGCAAATGACATGATTTCAAAACAATGAGTGGGTGCTTACTTAGTCCCCACATAGCTCACAGAGGCTTAGAAGGCTTGATGCACTCTATTGAGTAAATAACTATAAATAAAACAGACTATTAAAACATCTTTAAATGTGCATTATGCCATCAAGCTATGCTGTTTGAAAAGAGCTGTGGTGTTTGGGAAAAATTAAGCATTTTCAACAACTGTCCAAATACATATTTACACATAGTTTATGGTGTACAAAAGATGTGTCTGTGACAACTCTTGGGCCCCAACAAGTTTTATTAATTATTCTTTGAATAAAGTATTTTTGGTCACTTAAACACTGCAAGTAGACAGGAGACAGCTAATCATAGGGAGAAATGCTGATTTCAAGGGAACTTGCAATTTACTTCTCCCACAACCTTTGGTAGCAAATGGCAAAATATTGATACGGGGTATATGGAATAGATCTGTGTGGGGAGAGGACAGAGAACTGCAGTTCATACAGGCTTTCAATACATGTTTGTTCAGCCAGGTGAACAAAAAGACATTTCTCTTGGTGAGAGCTCTCCTGGTCAGTTCCAGCTGGAAATGACCAGCACTAGGGCTGTTATCACTGAAGTGTTTTTTCATTAGTTGCATGCCATCTAGGACCTGCAGATATTTTGGTATTCTGAATTCCTTAGACACCCAATATTAGTTGATTTCCATGTCCTAATTACTATTCAGTCAATGAGGAGCAGAGTCTCTGGGCTTCTGGCTTCATTGTTTAATAAAGGGTATAGTGTGATGCTTGAGAGACAAAATTTCTTTAGATAAGAAACTTCAGAGTAGGGACCTTACTTTCCTGCTTGCCTGTGATGTTATCAAGCAATAATCCTTGTTAAGTAAGGATTAATGTTCAAACATGATCATGCTGATGAAATGTCTTTTTGGCTGCAGAGGAGACCTGGCAGAGTCTTCCTCTGCTGCCTTTGGATGGTTTTATAGACCTCATTCAGATGAGCCACTTCACCTGTGAGTGAGGTGGGGGATCATCAGCTTCTCCCACTACCAGGAGGAGCATCTTGGGCTGAGATGTCACCTGCATCTAAGAGTAATGCCTTACAAAAGCATCTTTTAGTTCTAAAGCTCTGAAACCAAGTTCTCTGTCAGCTCTAAAATTGTTTTGGATTTCATCAGCTTGTTTTATCACATGCTAGAGTGCCAGTGTTAAGAAGACTTGTCTTAAGCAATCCTCTTAGTGTTCCTGGGAGAGGTGGCTATAGTTTAAATATAGTGAGTCAATCTGTTGTCCATCTCTTATGGACAACTTGATCAGACCCCATGGGGCAAAGTTAATAGAGTCATGTAATATCTAAAAAGCCCCTTTAGCAGCAGCACTGTTTATTTTTCGATTGTACTGCTTATTTGCTAATTCCTATCTCATTGCAAAACTTTCTAGGTACTCTGATTTCGTTATCTGACTTGTTAGGAGTGAACATGGCCCTTAAGGACTCCTCTATTTTTGGACAGATGTCAATTTTACCAATTAAAAGAACGCCTTTGGATGGTTATCAGAAGCTGGAGCTGAAAACATGTTTGCAATTACTGATGACATAGCTGTTTCTATTTGCTGCTCTCTCTTTTAATTCCCAAAAGTGATATTTTTTTTGGCAGTAGATATGAGAAAATATGTCACTGTGTATAATTACAAAATGCTGTTCGTTTCTGTCTTGTAACTGTGGGGGGTTTGTTGGTACAACACATTTGGTTCATTCTTGGCTCACTCAACTGCATGACACACATTTAAGTGTATTATTAATTGTCATGTTAATATTCATTATCATGTTAATTTACACAGAATCATGTAATTCTGCATGCCTCCAAATTTATGTTCAAGGTTATATGCAGGCATGAAAAAACCCCACTGAATGGTTTCCTAAACACTGCAATGAGCCTTAAATAAAATCACCTTCTGAACTTTTTCTCTAGGACACCTGGGCTTTTTCAACAGACTTTCACCCCACCATGATCATGGCTACAAAACAAGATCCATCCCTGGGAATGGGCTTTGTACAAAGCTGGTGTAAGTGTTCATTGTGCTTTCAACAAACCAGGTTCAAAATACAAATCCACAGTACTGGCTTTACTTTAATTTCCTAGGTTGCATCTGCCATCTTATCAGAGCAATCTGACTGCACATTGCACTGAAGAAGCTGCATAATGTTTTCAGTGGCCTGGATTTCTCACTTGATACATAACAAATATATGAATAATGGCTCTATAAGTATCTGTGAATTCTTCAGAAGATTGTTTTGTAAGAGAAAGTTCTACTTGGAACCAGTAACTTAGAAAGAGCAAATCTGTGGGATAAGAGGTGAACCTCAATTTAAATAACTGCTGCCTGGGTACTTAAAAGAAAAGGATTGAAATAAATATTTTGAGGAGCACAGAGTCCTCAAATCAGTGAGATTTTTTCATTGGTTTTGAATGTGTATCAGACTTCCAGTGAATGTTGTCTGTATAAAAGAAAAGAGGGCACATAATGTCTGAAGTGCTCTATTTTTCCAGAAAATAGGCTCATCTAAGAAAAACTTGTCCATTTCTGAGGCATCAGTTACAAGGTGAGTGCACCTGCTGCGGTTTGTAGATGGGTGGGTTCACTTCTCTAATCCTGGTGAAGTTTTAAGAGGTTTCAGATATGTTCATGATCCACTTTTACTTCTCTTTCTTAGAGAACTCTCAGGCTTAGGCAGAAGAGAGGGTGGCTGTGGCTTCTTGCCTCGGCTGGGGGTTGTCACTCCGAGCAGGCGTTAAGGCCATGGCACGAAACCAGGGTGGGGTCACAGCACTGGAAATTTTATTGTAGCATAAAAATAGCTCCCTGCCAAAGTCCTCATAGAGGAATGTATTTCAAGGTCAGTTACACTCCACAATCATCTCAGAACATGCTTGTAAATAAATTGTATGGGCTTAGCTCTGCTGTCATTGACATTTCCCCCCAAGTAAATGCCAGGCCTGCTGTGGAGAAAATTCCACTGACTGAGAGCCTCACACCTGAGCAGGCTTACAGCTTCTCTTCTCAGCTGGGATTTAGTAATCTCGGTTCTAGGTGGCAGCAAAGCCCTTCTCAAACCCTCGGAGTTGCTTGGGGTACACCTGCTCTGGGCAGTGGAGAGCAGAGGTACCCGAGTCACTGCTGGGCAGGGCGGCTCTGCGAGCAGGGCTGGAGAGCAGGGCACTGCTGCTCCAACAGGCACTGCTGCTGCTGCTGGGGCTGAGCAGGGCTCTGGGGACAGCTGCCTTTCAGAGACAGCCTGGCTATTTGGGCAGGAGTTGCTTTTTTTTCTGTGCTGCCGCTACACTTCGCAGGTTAGGACTCTGCTGCTCCGTGTCTTTCTGTCTGGTGACAGTGTAGGCAATTTCAGGCACAGGTGGACTCTCACCAAACATTTCTGTGTTTGCCTACAACAGCCAGCTCTGCTCTCATAAGGAACACCAGCACACTGCTATAATACTATTATTACTATTATTATTATTATTATCATCATCGTCATCATCACCAACAGCTGTATTCAGAAGTTGTAAGTCTTGTTTTAGGATAACAAATCTACTTGAACACAGGTATTTGGAAGTGTGAATTAATATATTGATAATATGTTAGAAAGGATGTTTTGTAACTTCTTTCTAAACAGAAATTAATATTTTATCTGAAAATAGTAATGGAAAAAAATTGTGTAGTCTAGTAAGGTGTATAATTTAGACTTGATGATAGAATAATTGTTTTCCATCAAGCAAACCAAAGACGAATTCATAATAAAATTTTGCAAGTTAGCTGCCACCAAGAATAAACTCAAGAGCACTATATGAAATGAATTGTGTGTTTTAACTGAATCTTCTCTCAGGACAATAACTCTAATGTAGAGCCAAGGTCTGAAGAGGTCACCTGCAGAAAACCCTCCTGGGGCATTTCAGAGGAGAAAGGAAATATTCTTCTCCCTGTCAGGTTCACTTCGTGTCCTAATATGTCTGAGGATGTGCATTGAAAACATAATCCACAGCCACCATTCTGAGTGGGGGTTTAGATAACAAGGGTCATTAAGAAATCTCTGAGGATGACAAACTTAACCCTGTATGAACTTAAGGGCCATATCATGCTACTAATGCAAAGAGTAAGTCTGGTTGATTGTAATTGTGACTGAGCTAAAATGTCACTTACCATTAAGATCAACTTCTCTTTTTTTAAGAATTGAAACATTTCTCTAAAAATATGTGTAAGATCATAACTGGTATCTATTGAACATAGTCTGCACTGCTCTTTTCCAGCGCTACGTGAGAGAACATCTGGATTTCCATATGTTTCCAAATGTTTGCCATATCTCACATTGTGTTTGCAGGGCCAGGGTGTGGCAATGCAGTGCAGGATCCCAAATTAAAATACCTGTTGGGAAACCTCTACATTTGTCATCACAAGCATCCAACTCCACAACTTCTGCTCAGTCCCTTCGGGTGAACCAGGGTGTATCGTGACCCTTCCTGTGCCCGAAGGATGACATGTGCTCCCAAAGAATGTGCAACACTCCTGGCTTTGAGTTCAGAACCAGGGCTACTGCTGAGCTCTCAGCATGCTGCCCCTCTGCTGGCTGTGCTGGGTGAAATGCTCCAAACCTTTTCTCAGGGATTCTCATGTTAGCTGTGTGGAATGTCAGGATGTTCAAATGTTGGGATGGTTGGGCACTGGAACAGTCTCCCTGGGGCAGTGGTCACAGTCCCAAGCCTGAACAAGCTAAAAAAGTGTTTGGACAAGCTCTCAGGCACATGTGGGATTGTTGGAGTGTCCTGTGCAGGGCCAGGAGTTGGACTTGATGCTTGTGGGTGCCTCCCAGATCAGCCTATTCTGTGGTTCTGTGATTCTGATATTCCATGGTTCTGTCATTCTGTGATTCTGTGGTTCTGTCATTCTGTGATTCTGTGATTCTGTGTGCTGTATACGGTGGAGAGAGTTGGAAGTTGCCCTGCCAGTGGCAGTGTGAAAGATTCCTGACTGTTTGCACTATAAAAATCATTCCCTGAGCATTCTCAGACCTTTATCACAATGGCACAATTTATGCCTGAATGAAGTAAAGATGCCACTTCAACTGCCCTTGCCCAAATCCCCACACTCCGTCCTACAGGCATGTCTTTGAGCCTTGAGCCTCATGTGAATTTTTACAGCTCCATTCACTGGGATGTCATCAATTTGAACAATTACAAATTACAAAGATGTTAAAATATCCAAGCAGCACTAGCTAGAAGTCAGCAAGGATGAGAATTATCACATCCCTTGCTCTCCAGTCGAGTTGGGGCTCCTCGTTTGGTTTCTCTGCCCCTGGTCTTGCATCAGGGAGTCAAAGTTCTCATTTGCATTTTAGCTTCCTTGAACTCCTAAAAGTGAAGGAACTTGCCTAAGCATAGAGTTTCAGTATATTGTGTTTACTTCAGGGGATTTAGGTGCTTACAGAAAATGCTGGGTAGATAGAAACTAACTACAAGGATTATGGGTAAATTTTATTTAGCTATACTTCTCAGTTCCATTCAGTGAGAATGGATTCATTTTCAGATTTCTAAGCTGTGGGTGTCTTTTGTTTAAAGTAAAAAAAAATAAATTAAAATATCTCTTGGGTGCCATTCATGGACAAGAATCATAGAAGAAGCCTTCTTTGCTTTACAGCAGATTCAACTCTGTCTATTTCTCAGTAGGGTCCTTCTCTGTGTTGCTGTGATGGTGTCAGGGTGCTGCAGATGACAAAGCCATTTCCTTTCTCCTGGGATTCAGCATGAATTTTTGTCTCATTGGATTATTTTTTCTCAGAAGGCTTTTTTTATTCCTGATGATTGGATGCACTGGCTTTATGGCTTTTTCTCTCCACTTGGTTTGGTCACATGACACAGTTACATTAATTTTTAGAGTGGTCTATGGTGCAGTATATAACTGAAGGCACTATGCAGCATAGTGCCTTTGGGATGTTAATAGACACACAGTCACCAGGGAGGACAAATTCAAGTCCCTGGGAGACAGGAAACCCTGTTTTTTGGAGGGCTTGTGGTCTTGTGATGAAATAGGTTCAGGCTAATAATCCTCTCAGTACAGTAAATCAGGACTGATTTCCTTGAACTCAAAAGGGGTCACAAAGAGATAAAACTAGTGACAGGAGAATCATTGCCCTTCTCTCTTAAGAGCAGGCAGTTGGTTAAATTCCTTTGCTCCTCAGATAGTGTTGAATGTCATGCAAGTGATCATTGGGTCTGTGGGGAGTGGGATACAATCAGGATGTTAATGTGCTGGCAGTGCAGCTGTTTCTTCCCTGGTGTCTCCCGTGCTTTGACTCACCTTTGCTGCCAAAGTACTCCTTCAGTGCTCTTCATTTGTAACTCAAATCTTTACCTACACGCCTTTGTGACTGAGATTTGTAAGAGACAATTTTATGCTTAAAAAGGGGAGAATTACTTTACAACTATACCTGTTGTCTGTGCAGCTGCTTGACAACCTCACAAGAATTCCTTTCACTCTGTGCCTCTGGTTCTCTTTGTCAGTAAGAAACAGAACATGTATAGTTCTAAGTGCTGAAAATCAAATACTGGTGTGATATATTAGCTTTTCTCTACCCCCCCTCTGCCCCACCAGTGTTCTAAATATGGCTCTACTTTGAAATTAAGTGCACTACAGAATATTCAGTTGCAGCACATTGCTGGCATACAGTTTATAAATTGTTAGTGTTTGGCAGCCCTTGGTTTTTAAATTCCTACTGATCACAAGTAGCTGGCACTAATCAGCTCCAATAGAGTTACGTTACTGTGTACCTTCTTAAATGGCTGGAGTGGAGATATACATCTAAAACCCAATATATAATAGCCACATGTCAGAAACACTTTACTCTGAGCAGGGTTTTTATTTTACTTTTTACATCTCTCACATTTTACATCTGGTTCAACAGTTCTCAAGGAAACTACATCTGATGTGATAGCAGGAGATCTATATCACACATCTCAAAACCTGCCAGAAATTCAATTTAAATATAGTTTTGGACAGAGTAAAAGAAGTATTATTA